CCCCTTCTTCTTTAAAAAAAATTAAAAAATAAATATTCATTTTTTTTTAATTGTTCAAACCCACACGTCTTCTTCTTTCATGTCTACTCAGCTGTTTCTCTTTCTGATCCCCCTTCTTCTTTAAAAAAAATTCTTTTTTTCCATTGTTTCTAAACAATAGCAATCAAACCGACACGTCTTCTTCTTTCATTTCTATTCGGCTGATGGTGTCTGAAGAATGTTATAATCGGCGGATTTGGATCTTGCCTCTCTCATTCTACCTCGCTCGCTTCTTAAGTCAGTATTTGGTTAAGTGCATAACTCAAAGCTTATTTTGGCTTAAGGTATATTTCAATCTGTATTTTGTGTTATTTATATATTTGTTTTTGAGGATACAATGTTTGAATTTTTTTTTCTATTCTGTTTCTTAATTATATGAAGTTTGTTGACCATAATTCAAAATTATTCATCATGGTGTTTTCATTCTTTAGTTGTGCTAATATGCCTCTGAATGTTTATTTGGGTATAACCCAAGTCAATGATTTGGGTCTTTTGTGTTTCTAATCTTACAACCTCAGCAATCTCTCTCTCTCTCTCTCCTCCTCCTTGTTTGTGGGCTTGGAATTTTTATTCATTTTTTTCCCCCAAAACCAAAAATTTCATTTATACATCTTGGTTATTTTACTTTTTGCATTACTGAAGTCGTGCATTTAAGACTTAATAAATCTGATTTCTAAGTAGATATAAAATACCAATTATTTATTCAATATAGATTTTTATTTAAGTGCAATGCACGTGATCATTTTCTAGTATATACTATATACATATATAATTTCACAATTCAGACTTCTCAAAATTCAATAAAAAGTCATAAATATTGAGAAATTTGGAATTTCAAAATAAGCAGGAAAAAAGCAGGTCTCTTAAACCTTGGGGCAAGAAGATTATGTCCAATACACATCCAACAATATGTATAATATGACTGAATTTCAATAAAGACTCCAGGCCAAAATACACACACACACACTAAAAGAATGTAAGCAGAACACATGGCAAAAATCTGTTAAATGATTTGGTGATAACTGTATCAAGTTAACAAAGTAAGATCAAAGACAAACATTTCAGTAGCAAACAATATAAAGTCTAGAATGTGAAAAAATAAACCACTAGATTGCTTTTATAGTTCAAAACATAGACACACACACACACACACATCAGTCAACAACTAGTTTTTGGATAGAAACAACCTTCATCAACATCCCTCTATAAAATTCAATTTCATTTCCTAAACTCAAACATGCACATCGAATTATGTGTTGCAGGAAAACCAGTTTCTTGGAGTTTAAGGCCTACTTAGAGAATCAAAGACGTATTAAGAAGAACCAGTTTGTGGATCCTAGAATTCTTTCGCTTTCCTCCTTAGTTCATTCAGCTCAATCTCAATCTCGGTGTGAGTTTGTGATAGAAATGGCGGTCCTCCCTGACAAGATTGAAATCTCGGTGTCCCAAAATGTAGATGACGAGTTTGTGATAGAAATGGCGGTCCTCCCTGACGAGATTGAAATGGTGGTCCCCCCAGGAAATGGTGGGTCCCCACGAGGAAGCTCTCCTTTCTGTTTAATCAAAAAAAAGGAAAAATTATGCATCATATAAAATAGCTTAATAACTATAATTAAGTAACAAAATTGAAGTTTTTGGTAATTATAAAAGTGATTTTTAGTCATAGAAAGTGTAACGTGGGGCCATTCCATTGCTCAATAAAATGGTAAAAATAAAGGTCGCAAAATTAAAGTCTCAAAAAAACCATTTTGTACAAAGGTGGTATATTGTTTCCAAAGGTCCAAATCGCTAGACCCAAGGTTAGATATGTTTTTTTTTCCTCCCCCTCTCAGCACCCTGCATAAGTTGGGGATTACACCGGGTAATTCACTAGTTATAGAATTTGTTATTTATAAGGACTCATGGTGCTGCCTTTATGTTCTTTCCTTTTACTGCTTTTTTCTTATCCTTCCCTTTCTTTTTTAAGTAATATACACACATATCATAACCAACCTACACCTCCTCCTTTATGGGTGATGAAAAATATCACTCAAGCTAACAGCAGGTGGGATCCCCACACCCTAGTACCCCCTTCTTCTTAAGCTACATAATGAGGGTATCATAAATTTTTTTTCCTAGTTGATACTCATACACCCCCTCTAAGGAATTGTTTGCAACCAAGAAGAGTCAATCCCTAGACCTGATGCTTCTTGAGGCACCAGAGCCAAGTGACTTACTGTAACAAGAGTCATTTGTCCTACGTCGAATCTGGATAGAAAAGTGATTGTGTATAAATGGGTGGATATGCAGCACTACCCAATAACTTGAGTTTTTGGGTAAATGGGCAAGTACCCACCCGTTACAATTTGTATCAGAGCCAGACCCAGACCCAGTCCTTGATCTGATACCATGTCAAGCGCCTGACCTGAAAGGCGTCCGGATGAGCCACCTTGAGTGGGCAAGGTGGCCCAAGCCACAACAAGGGCGTTACGAGTTTGGGTGAGGGAGAATGTAACAAGGTCATTTGTCTTACATTGGATTCAGATGGGAAAGTGATTGGGTATAAATAGGTAAGCATGCAGCATCAGGGGCAGAGCCAGGATTTTGAGATTGGGGGAGGGAGGGGCAAAATTATAAACAACATTACCTAGTCAGAACTTTGAAAAAAATATATATATATATTACGTAGGCAAAAATATTTTACTATTTATTATATTCATACAAAAATATGTCTATTAAACTTTTTTTAATTTATTTAAATAAAAAAAACTAGTTATTTAAGGAAATTTTTTGTCAAACTTTCTGAACAAACACAAATAAGATTTATGCCAAAATTATAAAAAAAAATCAATTAAATAACTCTCTTTACTTACCAAAAGGAAAAAAAAAAAAAAAAAAAATAACTTTAAAAAAAGTGTAACAATTGAAAATTTAACAAAACAATAATAATGATAAATAAAAAAATAAATAAAAAACACAAACAAATTAATAAAAAAAAAAAATAGATTCTTAAATCATCAATTTTTGTTAATATTCAAAACTTCAAATGAAATTTTTGTTCTTGATTTTGTAAAAATTAATTTCTTATAGAATTCTTATAAAAGCATTTCAATAAAAATGAAGAAAAAAAAAAAAAAAAAAAAAAGTGACGGAAAGAATCATGTATGAGATGGAATTTTAGAATAATAAAGTTATGGAAAGAGGAATTTTAGAATAATAAGGTTATGGAAAGAATCGTGCTTGTAGTCACATTATGGAAAAAACGGTATTTGAGTTGAAATTTTAAGATAGCCACATTAAATTTTTATGTGAATTAATTTTTATCGGGATTCTATAGTCGTTAATTAAACCACTATATAAACTATCTTTTCTTAAATTCTAATTAAAGAAATAAATTTTTTTTCTTAGGGGGCCAAGTATAGATTTTATACTATATATACTATATTATTTTATTTTTACCTATACTAAAAAAAAATTTCAAAAAATTAGGGGGGGTCATGGCCCCCGCCGGCCCCCCCTTCCCTCCGCCCCTGTGCAGCACTACCCAATAGCTTGAGTTTTTGAATAAATGGGCAAGCGCTCACCCATTACACTTATCCACTTGAGCCAGCCCCATGCAGTTAAGATAAACAGATGAACTAACGACAATTAGCCGTTACTCGTTAGTGATCCTATCAACTTTGGGACATTGGCAGAGTAAATTGGGCATAGACATTACTTAAAGGTTTATTTGCATGAAGTGTTTTCTTGTATACAATTAGCCCCCAGGCCCCAATTCACAAAAAATGGAAAAAGAGAATTCATGTGGGATTAAGACCATGATGATGATGATGATTCTGATTATGATAGCACCAAACAATTGCTCCTCTATGTTGAAATGCAAGAACTGGGTACATTTTTTTAAAACTACTGCTCCAATGATAAATAAACACACCGATGTATGTTTCAATTTTGTCATAAAAATTCAAGAACATAAAAATAAAGCATTATTGCCCCACTAAAAACATGTTCAACAAAGGTTAAAAAAAGTACTTCATAATTACAATAAATACAAAAATCAAGCACTTCATAAGATAAAATTTATGTTTATAGTAGGAATTTTGGAGAATGCTATATATGATGTTTAAGGGTATTGATGAGTTGCGAGGTCTTTGGTATAAACCAATAACATGCGGAGAAATATATATATATATATATATATATAAATCTTCTTAAAATCCATTTCAAGTGGCACTCTGAAGAAAGCAGTTCTACCGTGGTGTTCAAATGTACTCTTTCAACTCCCAGGACGTAGCACTACACACTCACCGAGATTATAAAAAATAAAAGAACAGATACATTAATGATTCAAAATTTCAAACTATAATGAGTTTATATGCTAGCTCTCCACAGCAGCACTCATAGCCAATAAAAGATAAGTAGAAACTACCTTTGCGCGCCTGGATAGTTTCTTCAAATTTGCAAGATCATCATCAACTGAAGAGCTCTCTAACTCTGCAAACTGTAAAAGGTACAAAGCAATTGAAATTGTAATTTTTTTATAGATGGAGTAAAATTCCGCTTGAATTTTTTTTTTGTTAACAATGCCTATCAAATTCTGAAGTCAAGATATAAAATTCTGGATACCACTAAATGAATAGATGTGGCATCCTAAATTCATATATTATTCCTCTTTTGGCTACATTTATTAGCAACAGAACACAAGCAATATTTTGATTATGACAGTGACGAGGTGATAAAAACATGTAATAACAAACTATATGCTTTGACACCTTCTCTTCTCATTTTCATGTCTCCAAAACAACATCTATCCAATTTAATAAGAGAACGTATTCAGCAATAACGACCACAAAGTATTTTTTAACTTCTTTTCCATTTATAGAGATACCAAAATTGGACATACAACCGAGCATTGAACCAATACAAGCAGTCCTAATGTTGCAAACTAGATAATCTTGGAATAAAATAAAGCAACAAAGTTCACGCATCAAAAAGAGAAATTTTAGCAACTTACTTCCACTTGTTCATCTATTTTCACAAGGAACCTGACCCCTTCTATAAAAGTCGATTTGCATGCTGATTCTTAAACATTAGTGAGAAAACACAAAATATGAATATGATGAACCGAAGAAGTGAAAAATGCTACCCTTCCTTCAAGATTGTCAGTTGTTAGCTGATTAAGTGCCTCGGCTTGCGACTCCATGGCCAAAACTACAAGGAAATGAAAATCAAAATTTGTGTAAGCCACTACCACCATGATCAATGATGCAGGAAAATATAGGTGAATTGTTATCAAGAATGGGCCAATAGGAGTTGGCAAGGGAGGCTAAATAGTGTCCCCAACATAGTATACAACTTGAAGTATATCTAAAGGTGTCTTTGTCAAACCCAACTATTTTGCTAGGTTAAAGAGTTCAGAATAAGAAAATGTTAACAATTGTTCATCTGTCAGCAGCTGTTTCGTAAAATATTTTATATGAAAAATTAGCATACATTCATTAGTAGGAATTTTTTCTTTGATTAGCACGAAGGATAATTTAGTATTAGTAAAGTACATGATCAACATGACATGTTTCGATTGGTAAGCATAAAAATATTTATTAGAGTCCATCAGCTTGGCATTTGTTGGAAATTTCAGTACAGTCAGTCTCAGCTGCCTATGGAACAGGTTTGCACCAACAGGCCAGTGGCCTAGCGGTACTAGGCTCCTACTTTCCAAAGGAAAGTTAGGGGTTCGAGCTTCCGTGGAGGCATGTGTGTGTGTACCAACTAAGAAGAAAAAAAACAGGTTTGCCCTAAACCCCGGATGCAGAATATATTAAGTCTATTCAGGCTTCCTACCTTGCTATTTTCCTGTGACATGTAGGATTTAAATGGCTGGAGCAGGGCATCCTGGAAGGACCTAATTTCTTTTCCAAAGATAAATTCAGTATTACATTTTGCTGCCCTGTGACTTTATTATTCAAGGGGAGAGATCACATTTTGAATGCATGAGCTCTTCTACTTCTTTTTTTTACAGGAAACTCATGAAAGAGCTGTGTGAAGGAACCAAAAACTATGGTAGGGTGAAAAACTTCACTACCTCAGATTTCAAGCATGTCATTCTCTTTCAAATCTCTCCTACATTTACGTGTCAGCCTACATTTTGAGCAGTCCAAATCCCATTAGCCAGTTTGATCCCTGTTAATAGATGGCGTTGAGAGAGGGACTGATGATAAACCTAAGCTAGACATTATTTGAGTAAAGTGACTACCATTGGAATTGATCCCGTGTTCTCAAGCTTGGAAGCTGAGTATATATTAAATTGAATATTTCCATCGAGTTCTCTTATTTTCAAAATCAGTTTTTTTCAAACATGTTTCTTCTTAAAAGTATACAGATGTTTTCAAAATCCTATAATAGCGGTAAACGCAGTGATTTAGATGTAGTTCTAATAGCATATATATGACTTTGAAGACATTAGTACGTACATGGCCCTAACAATCATCATTGAATTTACTACCCGACATTTGGTCTTCCATAGCATGTGATGCAACACCAACAACAACAACCGCCACCGAGCCTTTTTTCCAATTACTTGGGATCGGCTACATGAATCCTATGTTTCCATTCCACTTTATTTAAGGCAGTAGAAATACAATATAGAAGAAAGATACGAGAAATATGTAAAAGGTTTGAATGAGATAATCACTCATTCACAGCTCTAGTATTTATAGATAAAAAGAGCACAGGCTTGTATTACAAGAAAGGAAATTAAATCAAATCTAAATCAAATCACAGCATATTCTATGGCATATTCTATAACATAATCAAATCTCTGCTAATACGGTAAGTCATTCCATAAATCGTGGCTATCATATCTGTTAACACTCTCCCCCAAGTTGGTGCGTGGATATCTGAAACGCCCAACTTGAACAATGCGTTCTCAAACACAATCTTGCTGACACCTTTTGTAAGAATGTCTGCAAGCTGCTGAGAGCTTGTGACAAATGGAGTGAAAATCTGACTAGAGATGATTTTCTCTCAGATAAAGTGTCAATCAACAAATCAAAAATGTCTCCTCAGACCATAAACAATTAACAATGTCTCCTCAGACCGTAAACAACCAATCATGTCTCCTCAGACCGTAAACAACCAACAATGTCTCCTCAGACCATTTCCCTTCATACACATGTTTAAAACATGTAGATGGAAGAATCAACAATGTCTCCTCAGACCATTCCCCTTCATACATATTTTTAAACAATGTAAATGAAAGAATCAACAACGTCTCCTCAAACTATAAAAAGAAACAACTATGTCTCCTCAGACCATTTCTGGATGGGTGGTGCCAAACTCGCAACACTCTCATTGAGATCGGACGACCCTGTTTACCCGACACCTCTCGGATGAGCGATGTCACCTTAGACCATTTCCGAATGGGTAGTGCCGAACTTGCAATGCCTTCATTGCAGTCGAACCACCTTGGCTCTGATACCAAGTAGAACTACAATATAAAAGAAAGATAAGAGAAATATGTAAAAGGTTTGAATGAGATAATCACTCATTCACAACTCTAGTATTTATCGATAAAAAGAGCACATGCTCATATTACAAGAAAGGAAATTAAATCAAATCACAGCATATTATATAGCATATTATATAGCATATTATATGACATATTCTATAGCATAATCAAATCTCTACTAATACGGTAAGTCATTCCATAAATCGTGGCTATCATATCTGCTAACAAAGGTCATAGCTTTAGTCAATTCAATTGGTATCATATCCATCTTTACTAACTCTGCCCATAGTAATTTTGGTCTTCCTCTTTCCCAGTATTACCGTTAATGTAGACTATGTCGCTTTTCCTAACTGGTGCACTTAAAGGTCTTCTTTGCACATGTCCAAACCATTTTAACCAATTTTCTCTCATTGTATCTCCTATTTGTGCTACCCCAAACATCTCTCAAATGTGATAATTTCTATTTCTATCATTTCTAGTCTTATCACACATCCATCTCAACATTCGCATAAATGCCACTCACTTTATGCATATGTTGTTTCCTAACAGCCCACCATTATGTGCCATAAAGTATGGCTGGTCAAATAGTTGATTGATACAACTTCCTTTCAATCGTACGGGGATATGCCTATCACACAATATACTAGATGCACTCTTCCATTTAACCCATTCTGTCTTGATTTTATGATTAAGGTCATCTCCAATTTCTACTTCATTATGAATAATTGAGCCTAAATAGCGAAAATGTTCACTTTTATGTACCTCTTGATTCTCAATCCTCACTACATCCTCATTTGTATTTCAAAAATTTACTAAAGTTACACTCCACATATTCAGGTAATTTTTTCCCTACTTATCTTAAACCCTCTTTTAGTTCTAAAGCTTCTCTCCAAACCTCCAATTTGGCATTAACTCCTTCTCTAGTCTCATCAACTAAAACAATATCACCGGCAATAACATATACCATGGAATCTCATCTTGTATGTGTCTTGTCAGTTTATCCATAACCAAGGCAAAATGGTATGGGCTTAATGTAAGTCGAAATTCACTTGTTTATCCTTAACCAAGGAAAAAAAAAAAAGGTGCATTAGGCCTAGCGAAAAATCTTTTTCCTCCATCTTTTCAAAAGCAGAAAGAGCACTGTTTGTAAACACATTCCCCAACATCTCGGTCAACTTGAATGCAGTCCTAAAGAAAAATTAGCATTAAGTAATGATTACAATGAAATAAACTATTATGCAAGCAGGATAACTGAAAGTAAATAATTGAAGACTAAGCACCAACTTTGCAGACTGTGCACGTGCTTTCAAAGTATCTGTCTTTGACCTTGCCTCCAGTATCTTACTTTCCAAATGCTGTCAAAAGAAAAATAGAATAGTCAAACACCAAGTGTGCTAGGCTTTCGTTGGTCATCCATCATTAATGTTAAGAAAAATATTTGGTAAGCAAAAAAGCACATGAAATTTCATCTAATGATTGTACTAATGGAGACTCCAAGTGACCAAAATCAAACACTAACCATCCAGAAAACTTTAAACATTAATGGACGGTGCATAATCATTAGGGTAGTTGTGTAATGTGGTGACAGGGAATAGAAACCCACCCGTGTATTGGAGACAAGACTATTAACAATACCCTTCTGCTGAACGAGTTGAGCCTTCAAAGCATTTGCATTATCCTGTAAAATAGTACAAATTAAGTAAAGCAGGTTAAGAGAAAACTCAGCCTGATACCAGTGTCTCTGTACTATTTCATTTCATTACCTTATCCCATTAAGAACAATCTAGTATGATATTAATCCACAGAACATCAAACACAAGCATCAAAATCTCATAATGGAAACCTGCAAGTTCAATACCGCTTCCAATATATATATATATATAATATTATATATGAGGGAACCCAAAAATACTAACCAAAGTTGGACCCAAATGGGTATATCAAAAGGCCATGAATTGGATGTCAGAGGAGATCAGTTTGTGTCAGCAGTTTTTGTTCTTGAGCATCTTCACAGTTTTCATTAACATAATATGCATTAGAATGTACACACCTAAGAAGCAATTACAATGTGACACATATAGCACAATAGAATTCCTTCCATAAATCAGACACAACTGGTAAAACTAAAAATTGACACCCTGAAGGGTCAGTTTCATTAACAAATTTCTGTTTAGGAACACAACGTTTCACAGCAATACAGCATGGTAAGAACCTATTTCTCCCTTAGTTTGCCTCTTTATAAGAAGAAACATTAAAGATTTAAGGATAGTATAACTGCATTTAAATTACAAGGCACTAAGTAATTTGTTTTCAATTAATTCCAAAATAACAAATTTCTAAATCTATATGAACAACTACATTTAATAATGTGTTTCTAATCATCTCATGTAGAAGAAAACCAGTCTCACATTTAAAGGTATCCTAACTTGTGTCAACCATATGATCTATAATTTACCCAAATATATATATATATATATATATATATATATGATCTTATATAAGACTACCACTATTATACTAATTTTAGGAAAGGTGGTATACCACATTCCTGATCTCATTCCATGATCTATATAAGACTACCACTATTAAAAATCTCACACAGAAGCACGTTTAGAAATTGTTCTCAACTTCTATCTACATATTTTGATCCCACTAATTGAAAATGCTAAGCATGGGATCCATGAAAATTCCTGGGAAAAAAAAAAAAAAAAAAAAAAACAATCATCAACCGCTGGAATTGAAATAATAAAATTATAAAAAAATCTGGCCGAGGCAAGGTTCTTGTTACTACATCATTATCGACATAACAACACTTTTTATCATTTAGCCTCAACAAACTGCGAAATAATATATAACATTCAACACATACTAAAGTTAGTCATTATGGACCATAGAAAAAATAAAAACATGTTTTTTTAGCGTTGTCAGTTTCATAAACTTAGTCGCCTGAAGAAGAATTAGAAAAATAGGAGAATCTATAACAAATAGGATGGTGTATCATGTGAACTTGCCAAATATTTTAACATATTTAAGATCCACAACTTCATATAAATTCTCTTGCAAGCTTGATGAACCTTTATACATACTTACCACAAAACATTTACAAAAGATTTACGCCGTTTAAGTGCTTCACAGGCAAGATCCTCCTCCCCCTTCCCAAGGGCAAGTTGTGCTTTTCGGTACCTGTCATAATCTAAATAATGGGTTCAACAGCTCCAGGGAGCAATTTTTTTAATGCAATAATAAAATGTTCCTTAGAATATTACCAATCTTCAGAAGCTTGCTGTGCAGCTTTATATTTGTTTTCCAACTGCTTTTGTGATGCGAGAACCTTCAGAAAAAGGGATAGATGTAAAAAGGAAGGGAAAAAAAAAAAAAAAAAAACACTTCCATCTCCTCCATCTTTTTATCTCTTCATGCAGCAACAGTTTCAACATTTTTATTTTCTAATTTGCCATGGACAGAGTAGTAATAACACCTAATAAATAGGAGAACAAACATATAGAGACTTGTTTGTATCTAGAGGAGGAAAAAATATATCAGATGAAAATTTGGCATACTCTTGCTGTAGCTTGACGCATCTTTGTTAAATCATCATTCATTTCCAGCACGGACTGTTCTAAGATCTTCTCTGGATCTTTAAATGAGATTATAATTGCATTTGCATATGACTAGCTTATGAGAGGAAAAATAAGAGACAAAACCATGTCAGAGAAATTGAATCTGTAAGTGCCACACTGAAAATAAAAACATCTAACATTCAGATAACCTTGATAATTCTAGAAAATCGATCAAATTGGTTCATCCGAGTACCAAGAGCACCCCAACCATGATAATTGCATTTGGTTCTATTGAAATGAGCTAATTGAATTCCTGCGACTTTTTGAACTGCCATTGCAAGAAAAATGAATGAATTCTAAAAGAAGTCATTGAAGCATAAAATTAAGAGAGAGAAATCTTTTGATTCAGGAATTAGATATCATTGTAACAAAGCATAAAATGAAAACAGCAATAAAGAAGATATACAGATTTCCAAGTTGTTCCCTATCTTACAACATTATGATCCTGATAACTGAATAACTGTAATACCCTGATAATTTTAAAAGATTTATTAATTAGGATTAATTATTTTATTTTATTTTTTAATGATTTATTTTATTTTATTGAGTGCTAGATTAATTATCTTATTTTAATTAAGTTATATTTCGTGATTATGTATGATGATTGATGGTTTGTGTGGTTGATTATTGATTGAATTATTGGTGTGTTGATTTTATTGGTATTATATGACTTAGTTGTAAATTCTTGTTTGTTTATGTGCTTCATGTAATTAGTTATTTTAATTTCTGTATTTAATTAATTATCTTATTTATTTAAATTAATTGGATTGGGCTTAAGGAAAGTTGGACCAAAAGATGTGGTCTTGGGCTTGTATGAAACCTTATTGGGTTAATTAATGAAGGTCCGTGGTTATTTAATTATTTAAATGATCACTATTGTATCAATTATATATATATATATATATATATATATATATATATATATATATAATTAATTAATAATTGTTATGGAAAGATATATATATAGATATATATTTATTGATATTTATAAGTATATATGATTTAATTAACTAATGAGTTAATTATGGAAGGAATATATATTTATATATATATATATGTTTATGGATATAAATTATTTAAAGATTATTATTTTAATTCATTATACTAGTTGGAATAGGATTTGGAATTTAAAGTGTATAAAAATACACATAAGGCTTTAGGGTTAAAGGTTTTACACGTTAGAAAAATAAAACAGACAGAGAGAGAGGAAGAAGAAGGGCTGACAGGGAGGAGGTCGGATCTGAAAAGGAGGACGTCGGAATTGGAAGAGATAATTAAAGCTTAAAGCGTCGGTTTCGTTTCGAAACCTTCAGGCCAGTTTTCTCTAACTTTCCTCTTAGAACTCATAAGGATTTCACCTTGAGTATCAAGGCTTTAATTAAATTTATTTGTTTAAAAATTATGGTTAGATCAGAATAATTAAAAAGTATAAACTATTATATTTGATTTTTAGATTATTGGATTTTAATTGATATATATAGGTGTTATGTAAATTTTAAAATCAATCTATAGGTGGATTTGTGACCCAAGAGAGTTAATTATGGTTTCTTTATTTTCTAGAATTGTTCTGTAATTTTCTGGAATTTTTCTGATATTTTTAGGAATTTATTAGGATTTATTTTCCTATTATTTGTTAGGAAAATAATTATATATATATATATATATATATATATATATATATACTAGGTAACTGGCGCATGTGGAGCGGCGGCACAATAAAGAATTGATCCAGTGCGGCGCGGTGTAGGATAATAGGGTGTATACGCCAATTAGGGCCATTTGATTAATTAAACTTATGTGAATTGATATGGTGCATCGCGGCGCATAAAACTTTGGTGCGCATGTGTATCTGGACCATAGAAGTGGTCTGGTCAACTATGGGATTATTTGGTGTATTGCAGACCATGAGAAGATGGTGCACTCGCTGATCTGGACCTCAGATCTATTATAGTTAATAGAAAATAATCTAGTGTGAGCGTGTTCATTTGCGCACTCATTTATGACCATTGGATGCGGCATAAAGGAAGTGATGGATTCAGTGTGGTGAGCTCACGGTAGCTGAAAGAGCTTAGCCAATACTAGCACACAAGGAGGCTTGAATCCAGCGCGTGCAAGTACATAGTAAGCACGTGGGCGTGCGTGGGAAACTATGTTGGCCTAATTCGACACTAGAAATTAAAACGGTCATAACTTAGTCATTTTAAATCGAAATTGGGTCATTCTTGAGCTCAAATTCAAGGATTTTTCGTCTTCTTTCCAATGGTACCAATTTCATTATCAGATTCCCATCCTACTAGGAGATATTTATGTTTTAGTGAGAAAGCGTCGGAAAACTATTTAAACCAATATGGAGTATTTAAAGGAAACTATTTCTGACATATTTAGTTGCACTAATTTGTGTAAATATAATAAATTAATAATTTTTTATGGAAGGAAGTGTGTATATATATATATATATATATATATATATATATATATATATAATTATTTATATATGTGTATATATAGTTTAATTTGTCTATGAGTTGTATGGAAGGATGAACATATATATATATATATATGTATGTATATTGATTTTAAATAATCAAGGATTATTAAAGAAGGTGTTAAACACATATATACATTAAATAACATATGTGTAGGTATATATATATATATAAATCATTTAAGATGATTAATATTATCATTCTTATTTGGCATATCTTAATAGGCTGGTTGTTAAATTAATGATATGCGTATAATATGCATGTGATGGCTATGTATGATTTAGCGTATTGTTAATTTTAAAGTTAATTCATGGTTAAAGTGTGGGCATGGATGAATTGTCAAATGATTAAATATATTACCTAAATATTTGTATGAATAGAATACATATATGGAAAACATGGATGAATTGCTAATTAAATGTATGAATAAATATACCTGTGGAGGCATGGTTGAATTGCCAATGTATAAATATACATACACGGAGGCATGGTTGAATTGCCAATGTATAAATAAATATACTTATGGAGGCATGGTTGAATTGCCAATATATAAATAAAAATATTTACAATGGCATGGTTGATTTGCCAAAGCATAATTACGTTGTTATGTGTTAGATGATTAAAATATCATCTATGGTTGTTGTATGTATGGATTGGATTAGGGTTAGATATTCTTAAATGAGAATAGTTTAGTACTTACTGGTTAGTGTATTATTTTACATTAATAAAATAATATTGGGGAAGACGTGGATGATTTGTCAAAACTTGGATTTTGGATATGTGATTTAAACAATTAAAATCATTATCGGGTTGGGATTAAATAGAGTATTTCTTTTATTATAATTTGTTGTTTAAATGATTAAACAACTGACTAGGATGGGATTAAGGTCAAAGGAGTTTTTATAAAATGAAATGGTAGATTGGTCTAGGTATGAATATTATTTTAATAATTATTTAATAGGTATGGAAATTTAATAAACTTATTAATGGATGTGATTAGTATAGTATATATAATTATATATAGACATGTATATCGTGCTTTATTAAAGTTAAAACTTTATTAGGTTTGGTTTTGATCAGAGATGATCTGCTTATTGGTTTTCAGAGGCCTGGTAGAGTGAACTTGCTCGTAGGGTTTAACCCACGATTTATTTTTCAGGTTATTAGAGGTTCCAGTCTCGAGGTTGAGGATCCGCAGCTGGGAGACTGTCATTCGTCTATTTATCTTGTGTACTTTTAAATAGTATTGGATTATTGGATAATGTTTTAAGGGGTCCTTAGTTATGGGATTTCCGAATTGTAATTGTTAGAGAATCATTAAGTAATATTTATTTATTAGTTTTCTTCAGCGGTTTATTTATTCTTTATTATTCATCTTTGTATTCTGTGCTTGTTAAATACTTAAATTGTTTTGATATCCTCTTGATTTTGTGCGCGGACTTGATCAATCCGTGTTCCGAAATCAGGGGTATCACAATAACTAACATGCATACTGAGGATAACCGTGATTCAACCTCCTTCTCTGTTCATATAACGGTTTCTCATGTGATTCTGAGGGTCAAAATGATGGTCATGTTAAAAATCATTGAGCAACAACTCCTCCAAGTTAATGAAAAACCAAAAAACCCATCAGTTAGTGAATGATTTTTTGTTTGTTAAAAGGAAAATACCATATCCCATATGGCAATACCAATCAACCAAAGCATCATCAATGTAATACACATAATTGGCAAAGTATCTTTCAAAGGTTTTACGAGATGGTGCGAAAGTAAACCAATCAGATATTTAGCAGCTAGAATTTGAAGGACACCATTGATCCAGAGCAGAAAAAGCGAACTCGGACAAAATTACAGTAACCTTGCAAAAAACTAATGACATGTTATGCAGTTCCACTTAGTTAGTTTGACACTTAAGGTTCATCTAGGTTCTAACAATTAAATGCTTATAGCCAACCCCCACAACTTGTTGCGCGAGAAGATTTCTCCAACGGTGTGAAATCAATTTAAAGTAATTGATTTGTAGAACACTCGTCTTCAAAAAAAAATGAAGACTTTTATTTATCAATTGATATCTTATAATTTTTTTTTTATTTAATCTCCAAATCTTCTGTAGTATACACTATACAGCTAAATTGATGAACAAGCCAAAATCATTTCTACATAATAAGTCATTACAACCTAGACAGGGTACTCGGGACTCGGGGGAGGGGGACCTAACCTTTAAAAATATTACACACAAAGTGGTTACTTGCAAACTGAAACACTCATTTTCTATTTTTAAATTGAATTCACGATATAGATACAAAAATAATAACATATCACCGCTTATTGATCATCAAAAAATGAAAATTGTATGTAACCCAGAATGAAATACAGTGAGAATTGAAAAGGGTATGAGCACATATACACAAACTATGAATCCGTACCTCCATTACCAAAGAAACATGTTCTGAGAGGTTGTGCCCTGAGGATGACGAGCCTGTTAGAAGAGGGGACCTGTAATGGAGCAGAGGGTGTTGAAGCCATGCCTAACCCTGTAATTGGTGCTTTCAGTGCCATCTTCTTCTCTGATAGTGAACCAAGTTAACCAACGCCTGCTCTCCCAAACTACGCGCGAAACGAAAATTATTCAAGGGGTATCAAAACCTAGAGAGAGAAACAAATATTTATATAAAATGTCTCTTGTTTCTGTTTTTTTCACCCTCTTGTTTCATTTATGTTTGTAACTAATGATTTTTATTTTTATTTATTTTTTTTTTTAGACTTGCGGCCAAGTAAAAGGAGTTAATGCATTATTTTTAAAAAAATAATCGTTCTCCTTTTTAATTTTAAATATATATTATTAAATTTTAATTTTAAAAAAAATTTAAAAGAGTTATTATGAAGTAATAATTTTGTTTTGTTTTAAATTTTAAAAATATATAATTAATACGAAACATCCCTACAACGGAAAAATAATTTACTAAGATAGGAGTATAAGATTTTCAAACAAATGCATTGTTTTTTATGGGACTCAAATATCTGGAGTCCAACAACAACTTAATCTTCTCTTTATATATATATATATATATATTCCAAGTCTCTTTTCTCTTTTCCTGTTTCTTTATCTCTTTTTTCTTTGTCTGCTCTTGGAGACAGAATTCCAAGTGAGGGGACACGCTACCCACAAAAAAAAAAAAACAATATGGAGTGTATATATATATTATATATAATATAACAACTATAAAATTAAATAGACAAAGAATAAAAAATTATTTAAATATGCACGTTAAAAAAAAAAAAAAAAAAAAAAAAAATTTAAGAGTAGAAGTAGAAAAATAAAAATGAGAGAATTTTAAAATGAAAAAGTTAAAAAGTTTCAATAGAAAATTTTGACTTTTTTTATTAAAGAATTTAAATAGTAGAAGAGAAAATAAAGATATAATTTTAGAAACTACCAAATTGAAACACTACATAATTTTTTCTTCTTTTGGTGGGGGTGGTTTGTTAGTCCCTTGACGGTTGTTGTGGCCACAAAGACAGACCAATAACATTTTTTTTCTTCTTTTTATCAGACCAATAACTTCACTATATTGCCAAAAGCAATTGCCAGTAGTGAAAAGCAGCCAAGCACAACAATTATTTTACTTTTTTATTATTATTATTTATTTTAAGGGTTGATTTGGATTTTTAAGTTTTCATTTAAAATTACAAGGAGAATTTTGATAACTAAATTGCTTTCTTTTCAGTTTCATGCCAACTAAACTACAACTTAATTTTATTTTATTTCACTTTATTTTTTTTCTGTTTTCACTTTTCACCATTAATTTCTTTCTAACTAAATAGACCTTTAGTAAAATTGTTACATTGTGACTCGAAGTTCGCATGCGGGTAAGAGAAACAATCTTGGCAGGAATAACCCTTATTATAACAAGGAGGACAATAAATATGAAAACAAAAAAAAAAATTTAGGTTTGGTTTGGTTAGAATGATGGAAAGGAGAAGAAATGGAAAATTTTGAAACTTTTTAGTTTGAATAGCAAGAAATGAAAAAATTTGAGAATTAAAAAAAATAAATAAATAACTTTTCATAATCACGTCACTTTCCCACAAAATTTCCCTTAAAAACAAACACCAAAAAAAAAATTTAATAATTGCTTCCTTAAGAAAAATGTTTGAAATTTTAATTATACTAACCTTTTTACTTTCTAAAACAAAATGTATTTATGCATAACTTTTGATAAAAATAGTATCATAGTTTATATCTCTTAATTGTTCTACAAATATATGTATTATATTGCTTTTATATCTTAAAAAAAGAAAAAAAATATGTGCATAAATTTATTTGGACCAATTGTCATATTTACTAAAGATATGAACAATTTAAGTAAAACATAATATTTTCAATTAACTTTTATGCTATTCAAATAATGAAATGAAATTTTCCTCAATATTTTTTTAAAAACTTTTCATGATAACCAAATGAACCCTATATATATATTTTTATTTCCTTCACTTAACTTTCTTTCATTTTTACTTTTTAGTATTTATTTCTATCTAACCAAACAGCCCTTTAATTTATTTGACAAGGAAATATCAAGTTGATTTGGATGAATTAATTTAGGGTTTTCTCTTTTAAGTTTGATTTCAAAAATTACGGAAATGATTAGAGATCTTAGTACAATCATTGTAGATTGAATCTTGCTCCGTAATAGCTCATTCTCTCTGTCTTGTTTGCAATAAATTCCTTTGTTTCCTCGTGGAAGGCAAGCTTGAACAGCAGACTTAGAAATCTTTACGTATTCTTTCTTTAAGTATTCTTACTTTTTACTTGTATCAATTAGGTGGTCAATAGTATTTAACATATAAACTGCTACACGGCTCCTTTCTCTCGCCTCTCTCTAAACCCAGCGGCCCCTTTCGTTTTCTCCCTCTGTTTTGCTCCCCACCCTCTCCCATAGGGTGGGGGGTGCCGATCTTCGCCTCCCACCGCTTACTAAACTCAGAGTGTTGTATATAGTCATTCGGCACTATTTCGTTATGTTTTCCGACTAAATCTCCGATTTATGTCAAGTTTTTTTTGTCCCTGCCTCTGTGTGGATTTTGTGGTTCCCGCCTCTGTGTGGATTTTGTTGTCCCAGCCTCTTGTGCGGGATTTGGGAGGTTTTTTCCCTGTCGGCGGCACCTTATGGTTATGGATGCAACCTTGGAGCAATTGTCTTGACAATGGCCTGACCTGTGGGTCACTCCCGTTCCGCTGGTGTGTTGTTTTTCAGCAAATCTGGAACCTATTCTTCAATCTTATTCTCTTGTTTCATGATTTGTTTGTTTTTGTACGACCATTTATGATGCTCTTTGTAGATACCATATGACTGCTTTTCTTGTTGTCAGGGTAAAAATAATAATAATAATAATAAACTTGCTCCCTAATAATTTAAAATCTCTCTTTTCTTCTTCTTATAGTTTTCTATATTTGCTTATCCTTCCATCTAGGTGAAACCGCGACACATGCATAGCATGTACAATTCAAAAGGCCATTTCAAATAAATCTATATTTTAAAATGTATATAATTAAAAAAATACATTTTGTATGATTTTAAATAATTAAATTGGTTAAAACGCCTGAAAATGAAGTGTCAATAAATAATGAAAGTCTTTATTGAACTCGGTGCACTAATTGTGTAAAATACAATATGGGTGCGTTCCACAAACACTAATACTGAAATATTTAAGAACTAATTTTTTTTAATTAATAATTAAGAAATAAATATATTTAAAAGTTCTAAACGTAGCCTTCTTATTAATAAACAACGGGCAACATTCAAAATTTCAAATTACATAATTCAATCGAGTTATCAAACAAATTTTTTCATATTCCAACAATTTCAAGACTTCCAATTCCATGAAGCCAAACACAACCTGTGAGATTTTATTGTGTAGAATCTTTGATAGCAAATTAGCAATCTTTGACACAAAACCTTAGAGAAAAACTTTACAACATTCTATTTCCAGTTTTCCAATACATACGAGGCTCATCATTTTGATGTAAATTTAACGAGCTGATTCACAATGTCGTTATAAAACCATTTTCTCAACGAGATTTATGAAATTTCCTAAAATTCTGAAGATGACCTTCCAAATGGAATTTTTTCGGACTTTGGCTACCTTTAATGCAATATTCAGATGATGAGCATTATTCAATCACAAGGTAAAGAACAAACCAGTGTGAGATGGAGCAATCGTTAACGATCGCAGGGAAAACAATTTTTATAAATTGGGCTTAATAGGAAAATTTAATCTACTTGCTTGGAACTTCAATCTGGGGATTTTTACCGAAATACAAAGAAGCTCGGCACAACATTGCCATAAACGTAAACTTCGGATAGCACAAAGCCAATCTTTTAACACACTGCATTGCGGAGATCTACAAAGTGTTTACTTCTACCATCACAAGATCAATAATTCAGAAGAAAAGTACTTAAAATGAAGCAAGAAATCTTCTTCCTATATAAAATTTATAGCATTGAATAAAGAGGAGGAATACATATTCCAGATTCATCCACTCAACTGCACTTGTCAGGCTAGTACCGGTCGTGACGCCTGATAATTGAGAGGCAAATGAAGAAAGAATCAAAATCAGATTGAAAATATAAGTCGCAATATGCACGCGCGCGCGAGCACACGCACACGAAACTGGCCGGATATTAATTGTATCTTCAGTATCCAAAAAATTGGATCAATTCAAGTTCTGTTGGGTAACACAAACATAATAGTCGGTTCAAAGAAACCCTAGAATGTGTGAAAGGTAACCCAGGCCTTCATTAATCTGATAGTCCAAACATGATGTCACATGGTTCTGGATTCATTATTAGAAGCAACTTCTACCACCTATCAATACAATTACTTGAATTCTAAAAGGCAAGGTCAATTTGCATCGATGCTAAAAAAGAGGGAAACAATTACAGAGAGGTAGGCATATGCACTCATTATTTAAAATATATATATTTTGCATAAGCAAATCGAAGTGAGCTGATTTTTATGAACATATTTTCACATAAAGCATGAAGTGTTCGACAATTAACTTAATAAATGGAAATTCGAAACGAATAACAGACAAGTATGAGGGAAATTTTGAGGCGTTTTCAGATCCAAAACTGAAGCACTGGATCACCCAAATGCTTCGAAGAGTTGAATTTTGCTGGACATTATTATTATTATTATTAGACACCTCACGGTCCTCACCTTATGCTTTCATCTCCATAATTACAAGTATGGATTGCAATTAAAACTGAAAAAAAGGACTTCAAGTTATATAATTCCTACCAAGTAAAAGAAAATTAATTAGATGATTTGAATCCATTTAACTTAATTTTCTTTTAATATAGAGTACTAGATATATAGATACTGCCTAAAGTACTCGGAACAAATGGTCCAAGATCACATATAGATAATTTATGAAGTGTGAAGTTGGATGCAAAGCATGTACCGGTAAGAGTAAAACCGTAAAACATACTCACCAAAGCAGTTAAACTCTCTCACTTCTCTCCTTAGAAATGAAAAAATCAGCAGAGTATGAACAATAAACAAACAAAAGAAAGAAGCATACATAGAGAAATAGAATGGCAGTGGTGCATTTGTAACATTTAATATATAGAAATAACAAATACCTGTGGCGATCATAATCCCTGGAACGTTCCTTTGACCGTGACCGAGATCTCCGGCGACGACCTGAATTATAGCTGCGGGACCGATCTCTCTCCCTATCACGCTCCCGATCATGCACACGATCACGATCAGGATACCTATCACTATCTCTGTTCCTGCGATCGTGATCCCTTGCCCGTTCACGGCTATCTCCTCGATGCTGATCTCTGCTGGCTTCTTTGTCATGTTCTCGGCTTCGATCTTTTGATCTTTATAATGATAATTTTGCAAGAAAATGAGGACCAAGACAAATCCAAAGAGACAGCAAATGAATAGAAGTAATACCCAACATTTCCAATCCCCAACCCCCTTCTCTCCAACCAAAAATGAAAAAGAACCAGAAAAGACAAAGGTCAAGGTTAAGAGATCCTGAATACCTTCTATCGTCTTCAAGGGTCCTCCTTTTCTTGTTTCTTTCTTCCTGACAAATTAATTACCAAGAAAGTACTACTGAAACTTCTCTTAACAAAATTCCATAACAGTTGCTTAACTTTTCGAAAGAAAAAAAAAATAAAAAATTTCCATAACACTAGAACTAGGAATATTAGCATGCAGTAGACACTGCACACATAAAAATAATTGAACTTTGAATTTTATTAATATTCTTTCTATCACAATTTCCTTAAAAAGGGGAAGGGAATAGAAAAATAAAATAAAATACAATATCAGGCAGAACTAAGAACCAAATGGAAAGACAACATTGATATTCAAGCACCAAGAACCCACATTTCTACGCATCATTCGCAGACTTTAAACGATATAGAGTAAAGACTTATTCACTAAAGGGATAATCTCAAAACCACAGTAATTATTTTGCCCACTAACTTACCTTATTCACTCCCTCTCAGACAAGTTGCTAATTACCCTTCAAGAAGGCCATAAAAAGCTGAGTCTTTGAATTCAATGGAGTTGAATGAACAAATGATTCAACAAAAGCATAAAGCAGAAGTCACACTACCAAATATGCTTCACTCACCCTAATCAGTGCGGAATATCAAAAGAACAAAGGAGCACACATCAAATAAAGCTTTCTCCTTCAGCCCAAGAAAAGAAAAAGGGAAAAGAAAAAATGCATAAGCCTTGACTCTCATACAAGTTCACTAAAATAGCATAAGGGGGCGCATGTGTGCTGCCTGCCACTAAAAGTTATCAGAAACAATCTGAACAATACCCTCAGTTTTAAGAAGGCATAAGGACGTGAAACATGGCAACTCCACTGATGATGGCACAAGAAAAGTCATTTCAAAAAGCAGAGTACTTTAAGGCAAGAGGTGCCCTCAAAGGCACTCAAACCCATTAATTGAGGCGCAAAGTGCCCACCAGAGTGAAGCAAGGAGCTAACTAAATTAATCAATAGAGATATATCAGCACAATCAATGTAATTATTATTTAATGCTAGAAATTCCATTCAACAAAATTTTTAACATAAGTTAACCTAGTGTAATCAACTAATGATTGAAACAATCTTACAAACACTGGACCAATCATTTGATTCATTTTTGGTCAGACAAGTAGTTCATTTGGTCAAATTATAAAATTGAATTCTATAGTTGATCAACTTGAATTACACGGAATAAGTGTTACAGAAATGAATAATTAAAATTTAATATACATTTACTACATATTAGAGATCATAAACAATGTATTCATTCAAGTTGTCAATTGATGTTCTAAATTTTCCTAAAATTACGCCAATGTCATGTTTTACCATAAGATTTGATATATGAGATACAATAGCTATGTATTACTATAAAATGCATATTATCAGACTCCTTTTTAATTTGTAATTTGAAAAAAAAAAAATTTATTTCACTCACATTGGTTCTTAAAGACCAGCAAAAAAAGGCTGGTTTAGTCGGTTGAAGTGATTTTTATAAGTTATATCTAGTTTCTTAAACAATTTGGTTTCCTAATAAACCAAACCAGAACAGTGACTAATACAGGTTGAAGATCTTTCTCGCACTAGATTAAAATTTGTCAAAGATCATGTATCATATTACATACCATTCGAACCATCAATTTTCTTCACATCAAGGGAAGGGATAAGAAATCTGCATCAAAGCATATATTCATACTTGAACTTCCAAAATATCATATAGAACAAGATAAAAAAAGTGAAATATTATATTCATACACTACAGATTTCTCCTCAATCTCTTCTGAATTGAACAGGGCAAAGAACAGGCAGGAGTCAGATACCATGACTGAAAATACTTACTGAAACCAATATGCAACTAAAACCACAAATCTTGCCTTTACTTGTTAATATTTTTCCTTCAACTCCTCTACTGGTTATTCTAAATTGCTCAAGATTAATATGCCCTAGAGAATAACAAAGCAGAATGGAGATCTCTTTCATTTGTTTTTTAAGAATATGAAGGACAAAATTGCCTGCAGATCAAAGCATGGACCTTACTTGGTTTAAGCCACTAAAATATTCAAAGTTAAAAAAACATAGCCTCCATGAGGCACAGGCATCGATGCTTGTAGCTCTAATAAAGGCATTCCCTAGGGAAGCTTGATGATATCTGCCTTGGCAGGAATCAGGGGAAACCAAGAACTTCATTCACAGCTTGCCTCAATTCATGATAAGCTTCCCTCTTTTTTTTTCAATCTCAGGAGGAGAGGCTAGAGTGTTCCTCCTATATCTCACAACTGTTTCATGGAGAGGACACAAGGGATAATTTGTTGGTCAAATGTGAATATGCTATGGCTCTATGGGAACGGTTTGAGAATCTGCTGATATGTCGGAGAGGGTCGAGTGTTCCCTCTTCTCTGCCTTTGCTGTTCTAGAAGGTATGCCCTCTGTGTATGTACCTTTATTGTATTATTTTTGTTCAATAAAATTTCAGCCACTCGAGAAAAAAATATCCCCCTTGGCAGGGATGTCTTAAGACACCCAATATACTGTTACCCTTGCCTGAGCACCTAGACGAGCAAGCAAACACTTTCGCCTACACTGCGTGACAAGTCAAACCAGACAACCACCAAATATTAAATTACAACTGCTTGAGGACCAATTCAACAGCAGGCCCCAAGAAACATTTTAATAAACAATTTGGAACAAGAAAGGAGTGAATAAATTGATTAAAAGAACCATTAAACATCATCTAAAGAATGCATAAGTAACATATATAAATAATAAATAACAATTGACTGAGAGTACATCAAGAAGTGATCTGCAGAATCTTATCTTCTCAGATTTGGTGAGTTAGCATTAACAGCAACGAGACTATAGTCTCCTAAACATGAGGTTGCATGCCTCCAGATTAGGATATGTCAACCAGCCAAAGTCAATTATAGGGCTGCACCAACCTTGATCTGTAAAACTAATCTAATGCTCAAGATCGAGTCCAGTTCAGCCGTACAACAGGCAGTCTTGCTCAAGCTCAGCACCATTTTTAACTTAGATGATAGCCTTTGCTAATCCTAGCTGGATTAACAGATGAATTGCATGCCAATCCGGCTTCTTTATGCATTAAAAATAGGAGGACATTTTTGTTCATGCGAGTAAAAGGAAAAGACAACACTACAGCACCATGCAGCATTGCAGCTTTTAGAGAGTTGGAACAACATTTTATAAAGCTGGATAAACTTAGATGATCAGCCTTTGCTCAGCCTAGCTGGATTAACAGATGAATTGACATGCCAATCCAGCTCTATACATGTTAAAAATAGGACATTTTTGTTCATGCGAGTAAAAGGACAAGACAACACTACAGTATTATGTAGCTTGTATAGAGTTGAAACAGCATTTTATAAATGCAATCTGAATTGTGATTAATGTCACATAAAAGTTGGTAGTTTTCTATGTTTTGACTTTTCTCTTGTAAATTTAGTGAAGAAATTGGAGTCTCAAAACTCATGCTAAGTGACAGCATACAGCAAAAAATACTTCAAAGCCTCACTCTAGCCAGACAAGCAAAGTCCAAAGAGCCAAGCAGCAGATTGTTTGCCAAACAAACCAAAAATTGAGCTTGAGTTTGGCTCATGAAGTCCACCAGACAAGCCTGTGGATTTTTACCAAGCCGGTTTCAAGCTGCTCGACTTATTTTCCAGTTCTACTCCAGAATTGGTATCTATCTATCAAACAGTCGAAGTGGCTAGAGTCCATCAATCCTGTTTTCCTTAAACATGAGCACAGGTTACACAGATTTTGTAACTTTTTGATTGCCCTAATATGAAATACTGGTTCTTTCAACCATATTTCAGGATGTTTGTGCTGTTGAAAGTTAATTAATATATTCATAAAGCAGCTAACTTTACCTTTCTCTTTTCTGGGACACCTCAATTAGATCCATATCCAAAGAAAATAATGAAAATATACAACAAACACTCTTCTCCGAGGTTAGAAAACTCACAGATGGAATATTAACTGAGAATCTCTATAGAAGAAAGTGAAACATTATACCAGCACCTGAATCAACATATTCAGAGTACCTTAAGTAAATATCAAATACATGATAGGCAAAACAAACATAAAAATTCCAATTAAGCACAACAGCACTACTTCCAAAAATGTAAAGACATAACAGATGATATACAAACCATTCAAGGCTCAAAACTCCATTTTCATTATTAACTTATTATGCTTAGTCTTCCCCTCTTAGCTACCACTAGCATGTTTAAGACAAAGAAGTAAACAAGATAAGAAAATGAACCATCTTACCTGAAGCTCAGCTAACTTCTCACGGATTTGAATATAACCCAAGTGAAGCTTTCCTCCAAAATGATCTGCTAAACGTCGATCACTGAAACAACATAAATAAAATACTTCACTCACTAAAAAATAAGATTATTCAGAAGCTTTGCCATATAATAAAATATAATACAGTTGCCCCATTACTGTGAGCTAATTATAGCATGATCTACAAGCATAAAAAACAGAAAAAGACGCACATGCTTTAGCTCCAAAAGTTTATCCTCGTAAAACTGGGCCCAAAAGCCTGCTGGTGACAAGGAGGTATAATCGCCAGGTCAAAAGCTGAAGTACTTGAAACCCCAAATACTAGTTCTTTTGCGGTCCTCAAAAAGCTATAATATAAATGAGGACAAAAATGAAAATTTACCTGTCATAAACGCTCAAAAATGCTCCACAAATGTCACAGACACGTAGCTTCTGATCAGTCTGTGAAAACAACAAATTACAACATGAGAAAAGTTGTACACTGTTACATAGTCAATCCTGTAAATTTTAAAAGTGACTAAAAGCTTATAAATTTCACATGAAGGCAACAAGAATTATAACACTCAAAATTTGTTAGAAAATATGATTCTCCCTTTTTAAAGATAATGGCAATATGATTAAAAAGAAAATGAGAGGAAAGACTCACAATTCTCACGTCAACCGCAGTGTATTTCGAGGAATCCGTAACAGGTTCCTGCCGAGGAGCCAGCTGAAGGAAAAGGAGGTATAATATTAGACATGAGCCAGAGGTAGAAAAATTTCTTACCTTCTCAAGAGAGGTGAAGAAGAAAAGTTAAATTTCATGAACATGAGTTAAGATGAAATAGATAGCAGTCAAAGAAAAATGGACCTAAGATGTTCAAATTTTTCTTTGAGCCAAAGATGTAAGAACTTTGAAGCTTTAAACAATATACTATAGTATAAATATTATCAAAAGAATAGAAAATAAACCCTCTTAAGTGCTTCAGCCTCTTCCAGTGCTTTCTGTGCTTCATCGACCATTCCTTGCTCACCTGAAAATGTATAGGAAATTGAGGATCACAGCACTAAAATATGTTATTTATTTAGTAATTAAATGGTGGCCACATAATTAAAATAATTCAAGAAGTCTTTTAATCACATTCACTCATACAAGTCAAGCCTACAAATGGACTACTTCAAGCCAGCTACATGACGCTTCTACACCAATTCACTCAGGGAAAAAACATCATGCTTTGTAGTCCAAGTCATGAAAGTTTAAAAAAAAAAACATAAACAATTAAATAATGATAATAAATAAATAAATCTTTGTGACTTGGAATCCAAAAGTCAGAAAAAATACAGTAATTGATACACTTACTGGCATTGGTACCAGTATTCACTAAAAGGATATCTATAACAGCTGAATTTAATATCCTTGTACTCGAGCAACCATGAAATCAAGCATAATAGTTTTCATCAATACCATACTAATGGAACCAAGCTCAACGTCAAATCTACAGCAAGCCTTCCAGATTTTAAGGAGAGCCCTCAATGTATAGACACGAGAATACAAGATGAGAGGTGGCGTCCTGGTGGAGTGAACATGAAGAAGGCTTGTGATCCCTATCGGACCGGCTAAACTAAATGAAGTGTGTAGACTTCGGACTGGGGTGAAGAGAGCTAATTATGTTGTGTAATTTTCTTCAAAAGCTCTTAAAGGACAACAATGGTCCCCTTTTCAATTTTGTTATCCTGCATCTTTGGGGAGCCTTCAACAAACTCAGCATAATAGTTAGAAAAGATGGTCAGGTGAACAGCTTCAGTATATGTACAACATAGGTGATAGGACACCAAATCAACCATCTTTTGACATAGTTTGAGTTGTTTTAACTTTTAACCACCTCTAGTCTGAGAATTAACTTCTTTTCCTTTTTTGGTAGGTAGTTTGACAATTAATTAAGCAAAAATATGGAATCGGTAGAATTAATGGTGAAATGAGGCACCCCTTTCAAACAAATACTATGTACAGCAACATCCTTTCTGCAAGATGCTTCAAATTGTGATCTTGTTTGAAAGGGGCATCCGAAGAAGAGTTACCATGGGTTGATTGTGGTGACCTATGTGGGCAAGTGCACATGGGCGGGTGCGAGGCACTGGCAGGCTACCGGGGCGAGCTACAGGTGCACAATTCCACGTCGCCTCGGTGTGGAAAGGGGAAGTGCTATATATGTAGAATTTGTACACTCCAATTGGAATAAGGTCTTTTGGGGTAAAACCCAAGAGCAAACCGTGCGAGCTCGGGCTCAAAGCGGACAATATCCTACCATGTAGTGGAGTGGGTCGTTACAGCTATAACTGTCAATTTATACATACACACATATATATATATGAGGACTAGCATTTGTGGTTCAACTTGTTCTACATGATTGACAAAATTTCCATTCTTTCTTTTTCTTTTCTTTTCAAACAAATTATTAGAAGTCTCTTTTAGTTTCTAAAAACTAGAATTGACAGTTCTACACCATTTAAGCACTACTTCCAAGTCCCAATCTATTGATTCACAGATAATTCATCCACCAATTGTTCTCCATTCTTAATGAATACCAGTAACAATACTGATTTTATTTCATTTTATTTATTTTATTTTTTGCATATCTAAATATTCAATTAATGATTGATCTTCTTTTAAAAAGTCAATCTCATTGCAAAGAACATGATGTTTGAGCTAATGGACATTCTTACATTCATCAGTCAGCTGTCATTTAGGGGCCTTGCCTTGAAATAATTCCCTCATGTTTGTTCAATAATGTTTTCTTGAAACAAGAATTAGACAAAAAAAAAAAAAAAAAAAAGGTAAAAGTAATAAGTTGCCAAGACAACAGTTTGGTTTATTGCATAAAACTCCATTTTGGGAGCGATTTGCATTACTCATAAGATTTGCATTACTCATAAGATATCTGTAATTGCTCAAGTATAACAGGGACAGAGTTATAAATGCAAAACATAATTAGTACTACAAAATTATAATAGAACCAACAATTTTAGGAAAACTGCAGAGTGACTGATATAAAATTTGAACAAGAAGATGAAAGGGAAAATAGAGGACATAGAGATGGCTTCACATGTTGTTTACAAAGTAGCAAATTCAAGAAACACCACCCAAAAATATAATAATAATAAAACAAACAAAAAGAAAAAAAGGAAAAAAAAAAAATGCATATATAATATAAAGGGATCTTTGAAGGTATACCAAGATCTTCTGCTTTCTGCAGCTTCTCATTTATCATTTCTTGTGTGCGAGGATCAGGAGCAAGTTCAGGTAAGGGCGCCAGTGGTGGAGGGTTTGGAAGGGGTTGAGGTAATGAAGCACGGTCTTTATTGAAGGCATCCAAAAGAAGCGTTGACTGCCATATGAAAAAGATAACCGTTTATCACACATTATTCTAGAACATAAAATCAAGTACCACATACTGAGGCAGCATTTTACTCTGAATTAAATAAGTGACGGGTGAAATGTCTTAAGATGCTCTTATATACCTGTTTGTCAGCTCTTTTTGTTCTGAGTTCTTCGACCACTTCCAAAGCTCGAATCTTCATATCTGTATTGCCTTCAAGATCTGCGACATTGAAATTTTCATATAAGACCCTTCACTAAATCTATATCAGCTAGTTTCTTCCCCTCACAGTGGAGGATGTCAAAAACTGAGCTGCCTTCACAGTGGCAAACAAAATACTGAAACCATTTGTCAGCCAAGGAAGAAACTTATATACAATAATCTCATGAATAATTCCTTTTCAACGGAATCAATTGAAACCATTGTTGGTGCAGCCCACACCCCCGCAAAAGAGTCAGTCCCAACCGAATCAGTTATTTTAGCACTGCTCTACTCACATATTGATACAATTTTTAAACTAAAATACAACCTATAAAAACACAATTGTAATAAGCAACCAAAAATTCCGTGTCATCTTGATTTACCTAAAAAAGTAAATATGGTCTGATTGATCTTTATTTCATTCAACCGCATCTTCTTTATTTTCCTAGTTGGTACTCACACACACATACCTCCACTAAGGTTCGAACCCCTGACCTCCCTTTGGGAAGTAGGAGCCCACCCGCATCTTCTTAATGACCTCATATTTACTAATGTTCAAGCATATAATCTACTACCTAAACAATTGACCTTTACAGAGGGGGGTGTTTCCACAAATCAACTTGTAGCCCCTAGACAGTAATCAAAATAAAGGCAAAACTATTTTTAGCTACAGGAACAATCACCAAAAATAAAAGTAGAATTCCTATCATAACAAAGAAGTGTGAATCTTAATGCATATCATCTTTCTAATTCAAAAGGTTGCTTCTTATTGGAATTCACCTGAATAAACTAATACTTGGTATGCTATACGTTCCTTTTCAATATAAACAGGGAAAGTAACCAAACAAAACAACATATTTTAAGAAAAACCTATGGAAATGAAAACTAGAATTTTTTTTTTTTTTTGATAAGTAAGATTTTATAAAAACGCTCAAAAGGGGAGCGGAACCCAAGGAAACACAAGGGCCACAAGGTGCCTTAAACCTTCAAAGAGGCCAAAAATACAATAATCTCCTCAATAGATCTATAATCTCTGGAAATAATAGAGAACTTAAGCATAGAAATAGATTTCTTCTTTCCGTCAAACGAATAAACACCATTCTCAAATATTCTGATGGCAATTTGAACCAAAATGAAGCAAAAGAGCATAAGCATACGAAGTTGCGGTGCAACAAACTTTCCAGCAGAATTTAGAAAATACAAGGCCAACAAAAAGGATATTGACCATCTTACAAAATACTACATAAAGAACTTTACCATATTGATCAGCTTCTTTTAATTTTTCCGTGATCTGCTTTGACAACTCAAAAACCTCAGGTGTCTGCAATTTAAATGACTCAATAAATCATCAAAAATAAAAAATAAAGGGGATAAGGGAAGGCCGCAATAAATGATGGCTAAAGAATGTGGCTTTGGATGCTCAATCAAACCTGGGTAACCTCAGACACAGAAATTGCAATAGCAGCTTTAGCATCCTCTTCATCAAGACGCTTAAGAGCTCTTGCAATTTTTCTGTCACACTCAACAATGAGCCTATCTATAACATTCTCCAATTCACTGTCATAGTTATCAACACTTTTGCCTTTGGCTTCTTCATATCTTGAAAGAGTTAAAAGTAACATGGGAGAAAATGAAAACTTCAAAATATTATATACCAACAAATATCACCAGAATTTGTTATCTAGCTACGAAGAGAAGAAGAAAATACGACTATATGAGCTTACAATCAACATTGTTTAAATAAGTAAGTATAATCAATTAAAGAATATACAAATTGACTGAAAATGTACAAAGGTATTACAATTTTATTTTTAACAATAATTATATTGCAATCATTGCTTAGGAGGAGGATGATTTATTGGCTTTGATGGCTAGAACCAAAGAAATGTCAAAAATAAATATCAAAAGTACATATAACACGTCAATTTTAAAAACATCAATATAAAACATCCAAGAAAAAGACTTTGATATCCAATGTGTATCAATAACTCTTCTTCTTCTTTTTTCTTAGTTTACTCACACACACATTCCTCGACTAAGGCTCGAACCCCTGACTTCCCTTCGGGAAGTAGGGGCTTGGTACCGCTAGACCACTAGCCTATTGGTAACTCTTCAAGTTCCAAAAAGATTTTTTTTTTTCCACATTTTGTTTGTTTCTTGATGGACGATAAGTCAATAACAAAAAATACTATTAGTTTAGGAAAGTCTTCCTTCAATGATGTTAATGACAAGTTCCTCAGCTCAAATGAAGAATGGCTTTATATTAACAACATAGTGCTCTAATTCCATGCCTCCACACCAAGTAACCAAAATTGGTTTGCCATGTCAGATGACTTATAAATGATATTATTGATCAAATAGAAGAACGATTTCTGCTAATGTGGGAATCAAATACTTCCTCCGTCCCAAAAAAAAAATGTCCCTTTTTGGAAATCTAACTTTTTAAGAGGATGATTTTTAGTATTTTGCTAATGTGAGAGGATAACTTCTGCTAATGTGATTGTTTACTTTTTATAAGTTCAATGCAAGAAGGTTAAATTGGTAATGTTCCAAAAAAAAGTACTTCGACTTTTCAATTGGGACATTTATTTTGGTATAGCCAAAAATGGAAAGGTGGACAATCTTTTTTGGGGACGGAGGGATACTAGTTAATTTGCATTGAAATGAAATCACGTCAATGATGCAATCTGCCTTTGCAATCAGCACCTCAACTAGTTGTCAATGACCTATTTTTCATTTTCAAAACACCTCCTCATCCACCGAGGAAGCTGCCACTGTGACATCCCACATTGCCTGGTAAGGATAAGTTGCTTACACTTGATGCCTCCTACCTGTGTACAAAGGGCGCAAAGCGGACAATATATGGAGAGTGTGAGGCAAACCCCAACATATGGTATCAGAGCCAACCCCAACCGGAATATGGGGAACGTGCACAAGCCCATGAGGCATGAGGGTCATGCCATCGTGGACGTTGGGTCTCAAGGGAGTGATTGTGACATCCCACATTGATTTGAGAGGTGGGGGAAGTTGTTGGAACTTATAAGGGGGGATGCGTCCTACCAGTGTAGATGCATTTTAAAACCTTGAACACCAAGAGGGTGCAAAGCAGACAATATCTACACAATATGAGGCGAGCCCTGACAACCACACTACCACAAGAAGAAACTAAATTTTGGTCCAAAATCATATAACCAGTAAATGACCTTTGTTGCATTATTTTTCCTTTTTCGTCAAGAGGATGGGGCTTGTTAGCATGACGACTAACTTTAAGTTCTCCTAAAAGTGATGGACACACCACTGCCCCCACGTCCAACTATAAATTGAACCTACACCTTTCAAGAGACACCATTCATTCTAACTAAATTGCTGGTAGTGTATGGTGACCTCTCATTTTAAATAATCACTTACACCTACACCTCTCAAGACACAATTCTATCTAACAATTGTGACCTCTCATTTTTAAGCGATCACTTGACTATTAGGCATCAATCAAATATCAATTTGCTAAACACAAATTGAGGGCACGCATTGACTCCATCAAAAGGATGATTGAACTCTAATGACTGCAGCAAGGAACAAATTGGATTATGCACATGCGTAGAACACTGTATAGCAAGGCCATGAAGCTTCCGCGATGTTTCTCCATTAAAAAGGCGGAATGAGAAAAACAGGACTGCAACTAAGCATATTGGGTTCAGACCATACATTGCTTTTAAGCAATATCTATACTACAATTAAAAGTGTAAAGACTTTTCATTTTTACTGTTTTTTTTTGGTGTGCGTATGTTTTTATACACTTCTTATTCATTTCAAGAGTCACACATCTTGAGTTACCAACTGAACATATTAAATACACCACTTGCACCTCTTGATTTACCCACTGAATATAATAGTCTTGTTCTTCTCTCTCATTTATTCAGTTTTCATGCTCACAGATAAAATTAAAATGTGAGAAACTATGTGTTTTTCTCTCTCTTTTCACTTGTTAGTAATGTTCGAGAAGCAAATATCATTAGACATGGGCCCTAGATCATACAGAAGGGAGAAATAACTTTTGCACATACCTGCGAGTAGAATGACAATTTTCTAAAGGATTTTCCATATTATTCTTTTGAAATTTTATTTGATTGATTTAATTTTTTCTTATGTTCTTTTGATTGCATCCATTTGTTTACTACATTTATGTGCATATACTTTGTCCTAACAATGGAGATGTAATTTCTTGAAGGTGGTACATGTGGAAATGTTCCCCTCAAAGTCATCAATCCAAAAAAATCCTAGATCTGTTTATACATGTATGAGTTTGATTGTGAATGAAGATAGGATTTTAAAGCAGCCAACTCACACATCGCCTCTTTACTTGGGTATTCCATCACTTGAAGTGAGAAAATTTTTAATCTTCATAATTACCTAGATGTTATTCATTTTTTCTGAAATTATTTATTTAGACTTCTAAAAGGTTTCATGCATCTACATGAATTAGGAATGATTCTTATTTTCTTTTTGTAATGGATGAAGCAATTTCGGCAATGTAATGGATGAAGCGAGAGCAGGCAGAGATAACGAATAAATTTATACCACCAAAATAATTATTTATCAACTGAATCATGACAAAAAGTGTTGCCCATTAACTAAAAGCTGTGACCATTTTCCGTCACCTGGATTCTCATTTCTGTTCCTTATAACTAAATTCAATTAAATGTATGAACCATCTTTGGTTTTTCATTTAGACATAACCAAGAAAGAGATCCACAAAATTGTAATTTTTGCATCTAGATTGCTCTAAAATAGATATGCGGTCAACTCAGAGTCGTGAAATCAAAAATCTCCTGAAAGTTTCACTCAAATTGCTTTTGAATTCCCAGCCCACGTCTTGATTCTCAAAGTATGCCCCTAATTCTCAAAATCAGGCAAGAGATTACAATACAAGGAATAAAAATGGAAGATTCAAAACTAGAAGGATCAAGTGTAGGGAGTAGCAAAAACAACAGCAAAATATGAAACAGGATTTTGAATGGATTGGATACTTGACAATCATGTTGCAAAAAATAGTTTTAGCAACTAATTATTTGGCCCACCCTTTTGATCGCCGTTAAGGAGAAAAGAAACTAAAGTTATAGCAATTGCTCAATTGCCCAAATTCATCCTTTAGAAAGGCATTACAAAGATTTTACAAAATAAATAGCAAATTGAACCCTGAAATTATGCTAACATGTGATTATTGATTGTACCAACTCCCATATTTGGATCACCTCTTAGTTTCATATAATCTAACATTTATAAGAAGAAAAACTTAAAATTAAATTCCCCATGAGGGTTAAAAGAAGGATACTCTTTCCTCAGCTGCAATGAGTGAACCTTTGGGCAAGGCCCCATATCCATTTTCTGAAATAGAAATGTATGCAGAACAAATAATACATTAGGAAGAAAATAATTATAGCATAATAACCAAGAAGTAAAGTTCACCGAAACAAATACGTCAGTGCACAACCATTCATTGGTATATTTCAAACCAAGAAATTGGACAGCTCATCTAATGAATATTTTAGTATTATCCAAATGTCCCATTATAGTTGTCCTTAAAAAAAATATTGCCCAATACAGCCATTCAACGTACATAATTAGCTAGTAATGTAGGGGAAATCCGGGAGGATACGGGATTCAAAGAAATGTCAGAAGGAGTGTAAGATGGAAGTCCTTGAACCAGACAAGCAAAGGTTAGGATGACCTCTAGGGAAGATAAGGACTGTAATGCACAATAATTTTATTCAAGATTGTAATACTTAATTAGACCATTAATGTGTCCGGTGCCCTTTTATTCACATAATAATGCTATTGGGCTGTTCATCCTACCCCCTTTTCCTCCCAATAGAAATAGAGGGAAAGGCAACCCTATTCAGTTTCCGCAACACAAGCGTACCTCGAGAATCAATTTATCAACTCTATTTTTTCAGTCAACCAAATCTATTCTCAATGTTCAACAGATAAAACAATTAGATACAGTGTGGCTACTGAGAAATCTAAGGAAAAGGTTGAAAGAATTTTTTTTTTTTTTTTTTTTTGAATAAATTTGAAGTCTAATTTTACATAATTCAGCACCAAAGAAGATGGAAAATAAAATTGACGGAGCTAATTTTCTCATACTCAGAAGAGCCATTTCAACAGAAAAATACTAAATACAAAAACTCTATGCTCTTTTTGTAGCTGTAAATGTGTGAAAAACGCAAACAAAATAATAATAATAATAATAATAAATTTTAAAATATATATAGCTACTTGGTTATATTCTCCTCAACCCCTGATCACATTATCCAAAAATAAAATTACAAAAACCTTATGCCCTGTTCGGCCGTCTGAATGAGCTCGGAAAAAGCATTTTTGCGATAATATTTAAAGCATCCGGATACCCAAAATAAATAAATAACTAAATAAGATCTAGAACTTTCTAAAATCACATGTTTTCTGATTTGATAATCTTCTTTTTTATGTTTTCTGAAGCATGAGGACACGCCCTATATTTTCTTTCCGTTTCCGAGAAATCCAATCAAACGATTAGGTTCACACACCAGTTGTCTGTGCTGAAACCTCAGCATTCAGGTCTAGGTCTAAACCATAACAATATAACAATGTAACACAATAACATCACTTAAGAATCAATAGGTTTTCTATATGTATGTATATCGATTAAAATATATATATATATATACATACATATATAGAGAGAGATATTTGGATGAGGGTACGTACAGTTAATTGGAAGAGTTCGTGAGGGCAGAGACCAACCAAGAAGAGACGACAAACGTCACGATCGTAGTACTTTCGATTGACTTCCCTCACGTCCCCGTTCCGATTCGCTCCCATCAGAACGTCCAGTTGCTTTCTTAGGGCATCCATTTTTTCTCTCTCTAAAACCCCTTTCTCGCTCTAGGGTTTTGTGTACTGAAGGATATTTGGTTCGGAGAATTGGGTGAAAGACTTCGAACCCTTGGCAACGTATATAGGTATAGTTACAATACAATACAATACAGCAAAAAGTTTTTCTACGTATGCCCCTGTTGTTGGATGCAATTTCAGTTTTATAGGTATTTAGATTTTTATCATTTTTTTATGGATAAAGTGCAAAAAAAAAAAAACCCTTTTAAACTATTGCCCTTTTGCAACTAACCCCAAACTAAAAACTACCCCCTAAATTATTAATTTGTTGCAATTAAATTTGTCATTTCTTATTAAATTATTTTCATTATATTTTTTCTTATCTAAATATTAATTATACTATTTACCTTAATTTTATTATTAATATCAATTTATCATAAAAAATAAAAAATAAATAGATTTGTAACTACCATTTTCTAAAATGATTAACTTATTATTAAAATTTTATTATTTATAATAAAATTGCCGTTACGCAAGAAAGAAAAGGTTCTACACAGTACACAAGCTCCCGTTCTACGGTGTGGTAGCAAGACCAATAGGGGATTGGCTCCGGGTGTAGATAGGGTAAAATCAGCAGGGGTCATGCAAATATATGGGCCAATTTAAAAAAAAAAAAATTAATGTAGAAAAATACCTTCTTTTTTATATAATATATTGATGAAAATTTAATAAATCACTTAAATAAAAAATACCTTCATTTTAATGTAATATATACATGAAAATTTAAGAAATTAATTAAATTATTTTAAAATTTTCTACTTAAGAGTTTTATTTAAACAATTAGTTTAAAATTTTAAAGGTAAAATTATGCAAATTTAATGGAGAATATGTCATCAAATTAGTATGAATTTTTTTCATAATTTATTTTTTAAAAAAATTAAGTATAATTCAATAAGAAAGGGCATTATGATCATTTAATGAAATATAGTTTAGACATTGGGCCATTTTGCAACAAAATGGGATAGTTCAATGGGTATTATGCACAAAATATAGTTAACGGGGGTTATTTGCAAATTTGAACATAGTTCTACCGCCCGGGGGGGGTTTGCACTTTACCCTTTTTTTATCGATTGAGAGATTTTTTTGTAAAAGTCATGAAATATCTTATTATTGGATATATATATATATATATATATATTATAACATGAATTATTAGAATTAAATATAGAGTGTTGATTCTTACAATATAAAATGGTCCTCATGAGTCATAACCTAAGTCACATAAAGTGGGAACGGGAGTGAAAGCGAATTTGAGAACAGGAGCGAAAGCGAATTCGAGAGGAGGAGCGTGAGAGCGGTATAATTAAATCATAAGCAGGGATAATTTGAACGGGAAAGTGCGCGAAGCGTGTTAGCTGATAAGGACCTTGCCTCTTTTAATGTCACTTTTATAGATACATTTTTCTTTATTTAAATTTTTTTGAAATTGTTATTGTTAAAGTTATTTTTAAAAATCGTATTTTAAGGGTTCAAGTCTCTACACGAACAAAAGAATGTTTGTGAGTTATAGCTAAAAACTAAAAATATAAATAAATAAATAAATAAAATTGGTAAAGGTAATATTAGAAAATTTATGGAACAATATTAAAAAAAATGTGTTTAGAAGGATATTTATCCATTTAAAAAAAAAATTTATTGTTTGATATCAGACTCAATGAAATAAGCTCAACACCACTATTATTCAATTTAATAACTATAAATCAACTATCGTAGATATTTTCAATAATGATTTTAAAATCATGATCTAAAATGAATGTTATGGAATAACATGTGCATTAAAAAAATAAAAAAATAAATTGAGATTTGTTTCTATTTAACTCTTAAAGTAACAATATATATATATAATTTTTGAAAATTAACTTTCTTTTTTTTTATTTCTGTATAAAATAACATTTTAATATAAATAAATTAATTAGATTAGTTATACTAACATCTTTTAAGATCAACATTGTCTTCTTATAAACCAAGCGTGTTGAGAGAATCGTGACAAAGAAGGATATTAGCTATCCATTTCGCCTTAAAAATTGTTTAATAAACAATTCATCTCAAAATTTATTTTACGCTAACATTGTTGAAAATTTATACATCAATACATATAAATAAATAAATTCTGTTACCTCAGTAATCCGAAAATGCAGAACCGAATAATCCAATGGCTTATGTCACGATCTTTCTACCTTGTCCGATAGAGCGGCTACTAGAGTCCTCTATATGATTTCCACAATCCAAGACCTTGGTTGATGGCTACCAAATTGATTAATTAGGGATAGAGGGAATTCTTGGAGATCAATTATGGGATAGAGCAAGAGAATTATGGGGAGGTTTGATTTTTCACATGCTTCTTCCTACACTATATACACCTATGTACATAGACAGAAAAGAGCAATAGTGGACATTCCACTTGTACTTCATGATTATGTTTTATTCCTTCCACCTCAAAAATGGATGCTCCCGTACCATTTATGCAATATTCTCTATAATGCACAATGATAATGTTTTTTCACTTCATAAGTGGACAAATAATCTAATATCACCCACTCATCTACATAAGGAGAGTTCTTAAATCTCCATATCTCTCATCTCTACCTCATCTCTACATACAGGAAATGGATTGTGCGACTGGACGAGAAATAATAGTGTAGAAGTACTATATTAAACTACTATCAAACTAACATAGTACATCATTACCAACAAGTAATCTCATCTATGTCCCAGACTATTTCGCTACACCAGATTCAGCACCCGTTATCCTTCTCGAGACTCACCTCGATGCAATGCTTGTAATACCCCTAATTTCAAAAGGATAGTCCTGGTATTTAATTTATGTTTTAATTGATTTTTTTTTTAATTATTTACCTTACTTGACTTATTTGTATTATTTGAATTAATTAAATGGTGTTTGAATTTTAAATTGTTTAACTTGTGGATTGGTGTTTTATTTGCAATAATTGATGACTTGTTTAATGGTGGCATATTGGGGACGGATTAGTTCAAACACTAAGTCCTACCTATTTTGAAATAAGATTGATTAACTGCAAAATGTTAAGTCCTACTTATATGTATGTATATGTACCGGTATGGGATGGTGGCATATTGGGGATGGATTAGTTCAAACACTAAGTCTTACCTATTTTGAAATAAGATGGATTAACTGCAAAATATTAAGTCCTACTTATATGTATGTATATGCACTGGTATGGGATGGTGGCATATTAGGGATGGATTAGTTCAAACACTAAATCCTACCTATTTTGAAATAAGACGGATTAACTGCAAAATGTTAAGTCCTACTTATAAGTTGATGTCAGGTCAATAACCCTTTTGAATGACACACCTTGAACAGACTTTATATATTTATGTTATGGTGCCATGGTATGAGCTTGAGTCTCAGGACCATAGTTAGGGTGCGTATATCGCCTAGGATGGATAACTGGACGGTGGTTTCTGTTCCCTGGTAGGTCTAGATACACATGACCACAGTATGTGCGATTTGCATGGTATCTCTACTCAGGATGAGACGTACCACTTGGACTAGTGAGCGTCCTATAGTATGTAATTATATTTATATGGACTACTCTAGATATTGTTGAGCTATCTAGGATGTATCTGCGTATCGGGTTTCTGATTGGATCGCAGTAGAATAGGACTTACATGTGGGCCTGACCCACTCCTTTATTTTTTTCAGGTGCTCGTCAGTTCCAGGGTTAGAGTTTGGACGTGCAGAGCAGATACAGCTATTCATTCCTCCGATTATGTAGGAATCTTCTCTATGTTAAGCTTTGGATTTTATTATTATTATTTCAGTATCTTTTGGAGAATTTTTATTAAGGGGTCCAATGGATGGATTCCCGAGTTGTAAACCTATAGAGTTTAGGGTTTAACAGTTTTCAATAATTATATTATCTTAAGGATTTCATTTTATATTCTAGATTAGGATTTTGTCTTCAGTCTTCAGCTGATTATTTCAGTTTGGATTTTAGGGGTCCACTAGATGGATTCCCGAGTTGTATCTATTTTGGAGATTTGGATTTTTATTAATCTTTATCATTTGGAGGATTTTTAAATTTAGTATTATTTCCAGCTTTAATATTTATTTCGTAAATCTATTTTGAAATCTGTATTCGTTTATGTATTAATTGTTTGGTATCCCTCGGATCTGTGCTCGGACTTGATCACCCGTGGCTCTAGAATCGAGGGGTATCACAATGCTTGAAACCCGTAATCTATAATTGTACACGTGACTATATCAGGAAACAAAATTCGACAGAGTCGCCCAGGCTATGAGTCACAATATGATAATGTATCGTAAAATTATCTTCCATAGCTACTGACGTTAATCCAATCGGACTTAACAGCTTTCATATATATGCCTCGTCGAATCGCATCAATCATAGTCCTTTAGGTACATCCTAAGGTAGCAACATTAAGTTATCAATTCATAACGTAGTCATTGGTCATAAGGACATAAATTAAACCAATATAACATGGTCCTTAGAACTCACATAGTGACAAAACAAGGATATATTCAGTCATTTCTATTGATAGTCGTCTAGATAGCACATTCAGTATGTTTTGTATGCTACGACGGAGCTCCCACTTAATTGGGCATGTCAAGCTCATAATACGTCATACGAATCCTAGTCGCTATCTTAGCGTCTGACCCGATCACTCCAACACAGTCCCTCACTAAATGCCTGTTTAAAGGTTCGCATTCGGCTATTGTCAGGCTATATAAAAAATGTGGAATAATTTTTCATGTTTGATTCTCATTATAATCTCATCTTGACCCTTGTTAAGGTGATATCTTTATATAGAATTGTCTGTCACAACTAAAAATTATATGTCTCATCTTGCTCGTTTTTCGAAGCGCCAAGGCGATTTCTCGTGTGAGAGAGATAATCCATACTTGTTAACATTTTCAAGAAATATATGTAATATGAACATAAAATCATATTTATTAACTAAATGTCACGTAGTGTCTAATACATCATATCTTAAGCAAACCTATACTCTTAACATGGGATATGAAAACATCTCTAGGGATGGGTTTAATCAATGGGTTAGCCACCATACTGACTG